CTGTAACCTCATTGCCTGGCATACCCCAGTCTACCATTATCATCCAGGTGCTGGTTCAACCCAGTCTCAATGAATAGCGCATGACGGCATAAAAGAGCAGCTAGGCATAACTAAAAGCAAGGTGTCAAGGTACAGAGCTACTTCCATTCTAAACAGGAGGGACATAATGCAACAGACAAAGTACAGTGATGTCACAACCAGTGGATCAGATCTAAGCTCCACAGTCCTGCTCCATTGAGCTGTGAATGGAGATGAACAATTAAACAATACACAGAGAAGAAGGCTCCAGAGATATCCCAACTCTGAATCACGGGAAACCAAGCACATCAGTGCAAGAGACAAGGCTGAAATATTTACAACAGTTTTCTGCAAGAAGCGCTGAGGGATGTTCAATTTCGGCTTCCTCCTGCGGTCCCTGGCACAAAAGACGCTAGTCTTCAGACAATTTGATTAATTTCACATAATGTCATGAAATGTTTGAAGACACTGAATACTGACATGACGAAAGACTCTCAAAACATACCAGTGAAAGTACTGAATATCTGTCCTCCAGAACTGATCGCTCCTTAACCAAGCTGTTCCATACAGGTGCAACACTGGCATCTCCCCGACAATGTGGCAAATTGTCCAGATTTATTCTATCCACAAATAGCAAGACAAGTCTTACCCAGTCAATTACCAACCCATAAGACTACTCTTGAACATCAGCAAATGGATGGAAGGGGTTGTCAACAGAGCTGTGAAGCAATACTGACTGTGCTCACTGACACCCAGTTTCAGTTCCCCTGAGCTCCTGACCTCATGACAACCTTGGTTCAGACGTGGACAAAATAGCTGAATTCCAGAGGTGAGGTGCAAGTGACTGCTATTGACAGCAAGGCTGTATTTGACCAATGTGGCATTAATGAAGCCTAGTAAAACTGGAATCAAAGGGAATCGTGGGGCAAACATTCCACTGTTTGAAGTTACACCTGGCACAAAGGAAGATGGTTGTGGTTTTAGGAGGTCAGTCATCTAAGTCCCAGAATATCACAAAAGGATTTCCAGGGTATTAGGCCAAACCATCTTCAGCTACTCCATCACTGACCTTTCTTCCATGATAAGGTCAGAAGTGGGATATTCCACTGAGAGTGCATAATGTTCAGCACTATTCGCGACTCCTCAAATACTGAAGCAGTCAAAGTTCAAATGAGACAAACCTTGACAGCATCCAGGTTTGGGTTGCTATTCCTACCTCACAAGTGCTAAGCAAAGACCAGCTCGACCAAAAGAGAATCTCACTATCTCTCCTTGACATTCAATGGCATTACTAACACTGAATGCACAACAATTCATTACCATTCAGCAGAAATTGAACAGAACCAATCTTTTCAATACACTAGTTACAAGAGCAGGACAGAGGCTTGGAATTGTGCACTATGTAACTCACTTCCAAACTCCTCAAAAATCTGGCTGCTGCATACTAGGCACAAGTTAGAAGTGCAATGGAATACTCCCTACTTGCCTGTGTGCAGCTCCAATGATACTCAGGAACTAAACATCATTCAGGAGATATACTGGCATTGGGGGGCACAACAGAACAGGTTCATTAGATTGATCCTGGGTATGGACAGATTGTCTTGTGAAAAGAGTTTAAAAGGTGGGGACCATACCCATTGGAATTTTGAAGGGTGATAGGAGACTTTATTAAAGCATACAAGATTCTTGTGGGCTTGAAAGTGTGGCTGCAGAGAGGTCTGTTTCCCTTGTGGGAGAGTCTAGGGCCAGATGGCATAATTTGAAGATAAAGGGTCACCACTTAAGACAGACGTGAGGAGGAATTTCTTCTCTCAGACCAAAGTGAGCCTGTGAAATTCTTTACCTCAGCGGACTGTAGTGACTAGGTTTTCTGTATATTCAATTGAACATATGAGATGGACAAATTTTTAATCAGTAAAGGAATCAAGAATTATGAGGAATAGGCAGGAAAGTTGAGTTACAGATTATTAGATCAGCCATAGTCAGCCATTGAATGGAAAAATAGACTTAATGGAGCCAAATGGCCTACTTCTGCTCCTATGTCTTATGGTCTTATCACCAATACACCAGTGACAGCAGTGAATGACATCCACAAGATGCACTTCAGCAACTCACCAAGGCTACTTCACACTTTCAAAATACCTTTTAGCCAGAGAATGGTGAATCTGTGGAACTCATTGCCACACAAGGCTGTGGAAACCAAGTCATTGAGTGCAATTAAGACAGAGATAGATAGGTTCTTGATTTGTAAGAAGATCAATGGTTAGGAGAGAAAGCAGGAGAATGGGGTTGAAAAGCATATCAGCTATGATCAAATGATGGAACAGACTTGATGGGCTGAATGGCCCAATTCTGTTCCTAAATCTTATGGTCTTATAGCTGGATAAAAATCCTAAATGCTTCCTTTCTAACAGCAGTGTGGGTTTACCTGTGCCACATGGACTGAAGTGGTTTACGAAGGTAGCTCACCACCACTTTCTCCAAGGCAATTAGGAGAAGCTGGGCTAGCCAGCAACCCCACAGGCTATGAAAAAATAAAACTAAAACACATAACCTTTTCCAACTGGTGAACCTTATGGAGAGCTTCCTGCACTTTATGACCTTAACCTTGAGCTGTGCTGAGCAATTGCAGGGAAGTCTGGATCTGTTGCCAGGTTTTGTCCATCCACCTGAGAAGAGGGGTGCAGGTAGAAGGAGAAGTAGTCAGGAAGCAGCTTCATTCCTCTGGGCATTGGCACAATTCCTGCAGCCAACCCTATTGACAGAGCTGGCATCTGCAGAGATATAGGTGGCACCTTTGCTTTGTTTCTCTGGGACTCCACCATCCAGAGGTTCTCTGTCATGGGCATCTTCCATGCCAGTGCTTCAATGCAGCAGCCTGCTCATTCACCAGCTCTGGTTGCCGGGACAACACGTAAGAGTAACCTGAGGCGTCTACATGAAGATGTCTAGCATAGTAATTCACCAAGGCTCGTTAGACAGCACCTTTCAAACTCACATCCGCTTCCACTTACAAGGACAAAGATAGTGGATACATGCCTGCAGGTTCCCCTTCAAGCCACACACCATCTTGACTTGAAAATTTATTGGTGTTTCTACAATGTCGCTGGGTCAAAATCCTGGAACTCCCCTCCTAATGTCATTGTGGATCTACCCACTGCATATGCACTGCAGGGTTCAAGAAGGCAGCTCACAACGATCTTCTCGAGGGAAATTAGGAATAGGGAATAAATGTTGACCTGCCAGTGAGACCCACACCCTATTAATGTATAAAGAAAATAAAAAGAATCTCTCTAGGGATAAGCAATTATAGCATTTATTTCTACCCTAGTGGCGCATGCCAAATTCATGGGTCATTAAAATGGAAGACACGAAATTGTGATCTTTGAATGAATTCCAGTCTTTGGTCCAGCACTAGGGCTGATTTTAGCAGAAGACCAATAGCATGATTTAGGATGTTTATGACAGACCACCAATGGTTATCATTGTCAGGTACCTATCTCCTCTCCAATGAGATGATAGGAAACCTCAGTTGAATCATATGCAGAGGGAAAAGTTGCATATTTTTCTTGCATACGTAACACTGGGCATGGCCATTGTCATCTTGTGTATTTCTATTGTCCACTGAATCAAATATCACTTCCATAAATCCTCCTCAGAATAGGCAGCACTCTCAATAATTCCTCAGTCTCCAATTCAATTCATTTCTGCTGTGCTAGATTATGAAGAATGCAACCCCGTACCATACAGGAACGCCTTGGTGTGCCAGTATGCAGGCTGTGCTGGCATCAATATAACCATTTAAACTATGTTTTCTGAAGGTTAATTGCCTACTTGATGGTCATTCTATTATAATGTGGCAGTCATTGCAAATTTCCATTGATTTGATTTTGGAGCTTCTGGGCTCGTGTGAGCATCCATGTTTTTGGTGGAGAGCCCTTGTAACCTACGATCTATCCACAAAGGATCCAAACAAATGCATTGAATAGTTGAGGCACCTGAAACTGTCTCAGGATGTACAAATTATGGCAGGGACTCTGAAAACATTTATCATGGAGCGGACATTCAAACGTCAAGAGGATGGAACCCCTCTCCTTGAATGTGTCTGTTTGCTCTGAGGGAGACTTGATAGCCACATGTGTCTAGTGTACAACCCTCTAGATCTGCAGAAAGCCTCCCAAAGCCCTAAAGCTGACCACCCTATCAGCCTGTCCAGACTGATAGGGTGGACTTTGATGTACTCCTTTGCTCTTTTGAACAATGCATCCATAACTATTTCTTATAAGCTCCTACGATCACTCAACTCATAGCACATCCAATGCCATTCTTCCAGTAAAAAATCTGAATAGAACCACTGAACCCAAGATTCACAATGGCATTCGTGGAAATGTTTTAAGAATGAATGGAAAGTGCGGCAAGCAAGTGGGAGTAGTATAGATTTAACACACTGTGGAGCTGGAGAACACAGCAGGTCAGGCAGCATCAGAGGAGCAGGAAAGCTGACGTTTCGGGTCGGGACCCTTCAGAAACTTTTAGCAGTACAGACTCGAGGCACTGAAGGCATCTTCTTACTCTATGATCCATTCATAAGTCTCGCCTTAGTACGTTTGTATAATGTTCTGAACTTCAGTATAAATATTAAATGAACAACAGCGTTCAGAACAAACACTTTTTTCAGGTTGCTCACAACTACGTGCTGAATTGCTGGAAGCGATTCAATCCTGAGCAGCTTCCACTTGTTGAGTTGCAGGTGATTGACTGTCTCGTGGCAACTTCGCCCGAAAAGCCCGAGTGCGCGCATGCGCTGACGCTGCGTCCGCCCGTGCACGCGCAGCGTGGGCCACGCGCGCGTCGCCGAGCCTGGCGCTGCACAAGCGGCGAGGTACCGTGTGCGCGCATGTGCAGCCGCTGAGCTTGGTTGCGCACGCGCAGCGCGGGCCGTGTGCGTGTGCGCGTGCGCGGCAATGCGGCCCGGCAACGCATGCGCGGAGGGTGTGTGTGCGCATGCGCCGCCGCTCTGACAGGCGCATTATGGAGCCGTTGCTGTAATGTGGAGGAGCAGCGGCCGGTTGCCGGGGTTGCTTTTATCTCGGTGTCGCTCTGCCCTCCGGAGGAAGGGGGGCGACGGTCTGTTTACGGGCCGCAGCAATGAGTCCAGACTGAAGGTGGTTGAGGCGCTGTCGGATGCGACGGCCAAGGAGCAGGAGGTCCGGGTACAGGTAACCATCACCTCCATTGTAGATAGAGTGGCTGTGTGTCTGCTCTCCTATAATGCATTACCTCCTGATTACACGGCATGGTTGTTTTCCAGCGTTAGAGTGGTTTCTGGAGAGTAACAATAGACCAGTCTAGGGACATGTAGAATAGCTCAGTTTGTTCAATCAGCTGAAAAGTTGAAGCCAGGCATCATTTCCAAAAGTTGGGGGATTAACCTGAAACCGAAAAGGAATATATTGATGGACGGGACTTGAGAACACTAGGATCGGGACGAGGGAAGCACTAAATAAAAGTGTGGGAGAGACGGCAAAGTGAAGGAATTAAATTTAAATTTTAGGATTTAGAAAAGCAGGAAAATTGCATCAGTAGTGGAGTGAACAAAGTCAGAAGTCACACGACACAAGGTTATACTCCAACAGGTTTATTTGAAATTGTCAACTTTCAGAGTGCTGTTCCTTCATCAGGTGAGATGGCGGGAAGCGCACAGGCACAGAATTTATAGGCAGAGAGATAATGGCAACATAATTCTAGGTATTTAAGAGTATCACATGGTGTGAGTGGAGTGTTGACAGGCTAAATAATAAGCCTTTGCAGGTGATCATAAGTGAATAGCAAATGAAGGGATGATCTATGATTTGATTAATTAAAGTAGTGCACCAAAAGCTTGTGATTTCAAATAAACCTGTTGGAAAATAACCTGGTGTTGTGTGACTTCTGACTTTATCCACCCCCAAGTCCAACACTGGCACTCCACATCAGTAGTGGAGTGAGTGAAGGTTCAAGATGGTGGATGCAGCACCAGTGAAGTAGGCTACTTTGTTCTGCATGATGTTGAAATTCTGAGTATTGAGCTGCACCCTTCCAAGTGAGTGAAGAGTATTCCATCTTAGGCCTGACTTGTGTCTTGTAGGTAGTGAACAGGCTTTGAGTCGAAGTTCAGATACTCTGATTTCCCAGCCTCCGATTTGCTCTTGTAGCTACACTACTTTTGCAGCTTGCCTGATTCAGGTTCTTGTCACTGGAGCCCCAATGATTTTCATTAGGAGGATTCAGTGATTGTAATGCCACTGAATGTCACAGTTGTACTTGGTTAGATTCTCTTCAGATGGCATTGCCTTGTACTTATGTGGGGTGAACATTACCCGTTTCACTGCATATGGACATGGATTGCTTCAGTCTTTGAGGAGTCAGGAATGGTGCTGAACACTATACAATCATTAGCAAACATCCCAATCTCTGACCTTTTGAGGAATGTATTGCTGAAGATGGTTATGCATGGGTTACTATCCTAAGGAACAGTAGTATTGCGTCTAACTTGGAGCCAAAAGACCTATGTTCAAAGCCCAGCTCGTCTAGAGGTGTGTCATAACACATCTGAACAAGCTGATTACAAAATATCAATCCTGAGGAACTCCAGGAGCAGAATCCTCAGATTAAGATGATTGACCTCCTACATACAAAACTGACTTCCTTTGTGCTAGCTATGACTCCAATCACCAGAGACATTTCCCTCTGATTTTCATTCACACCAGTTTTGCTGGGGCTCCATGATGCTGCACTCGGTTGTATTCTACCTTGATGTTGAGGGGAATCAACAGCCCCTCGTTTCTGTCATCTGTTTTATTCATCAATGCACTAAGACTGGAATAAGGTTAGGAGACGATTGGATGTAGCAAATCCAAACTGAGGATCAGTGAGCAGGATATTGTGATAAGTGAGTGCTGTTTAATACCACTGTCACTAACACCTCCTGTCACTTTGCTGATTATTGAGAGTAGACTTCTGGGTTGGTATTTTGGCCAGGCTGGGTTTGTCCTCTTCTTTGTGCTCAGGACAAAGCTGGACAATTTAGATGCTAGTATTGTGGCTGTACTGAAACAACATTGCTGTACCCTTAGCAAAGTTCTGGGTCGTAATTCTTCAGGACTCTTGGTGGAATGTTTTCAGGACCTTTGTTTTATCCTTTGATTTATCTAGTGGCTTTAATCGCTTTTTAATCTCACGTGGAATGAATGAAATTTGTTGAAAATTGGCATCTGTGATGCTGGGGATCTCACTTCTGGATGAGAATGTTTGCGAGTACAAACACTCTCATTTTTAAAGATATTTTTAATTAAACTGTTCAAGAATGTTGTGACACCACTCTGGAGCAGGTGGGACCTGAACTTGGGCCTTCTGGCTCAGAGATAGGGGCACTACCAGCAAACCACAGGAGCTCTTAGAGTATTCAGCTACCTAGAACATACCTCCTCTCGCCCACCTTCCTGCAAAAAGGCCAGCCCCTATTCCCAATTCCTTCGCCTCCGCCGCATCTGCTCCCGAGATGAGGGATTCCACTCCCAGACATCCCAGATGTCCTCGTTTTTCAAGGACCGCAACTTCCCCTCCACAATGGTCGAAAATGCCCTCGACCGTATCTCTCGCATTTCCCACAACTCATCCCTCACACCCCCTACCCGCAATAACAACCAAAACAGAATCCCCCGCGTCCTCACGTACCACCCCACCAACCTCCGAATCCAACGCATCACCCTCCGACACTTCCGCCATCTGCAATCGGACCCCACTACCAAAGACATTTTTCCCTCCCCACCCTTATCTGCTTTCCAGAGGGACCACTCTCTCCATGACTCCCTTGTCCGCTCCACACTCCCCTCCAGCCCCACCACCCCCGGCACTTTTCCCTGCAACCGGAGCAAGCGCTATACCTGCCCCTACACCTCACCCCCATCCCAGGCCCTAAGAAGACCTTCCACATGAAACAGATGTTCACCTGCACATCTGCTAATGTGGTATACTGTATCTGCTGTTCCCGTTGTGGCCTCCTCTGCATCGGGGAAACCAAGTGGAGGCCTGGGGACTGCTTTGCAGAACACTTACGCTTGGTTCGCAAAGAAAAACAACTACACCTCCCAGTCGCGAACCATTTCAACTCCCCCTCCCACTCCTTGGACGACATGTCCATCCTGGGCCTCCTGTATTGCCACAATGATGCCACCCGAAAGCTGCAGGAACAGCATCTCATATTTCGCTTGGGAACCCTGCAGCCCAAGGGTTTCAATGTGGACTTCACAAGCTTCAAAATCTCCCCTCCCCCGACCGCATCCCAAAACCAGCCCAGCTCGTCCCCGCCTCCCTAACCATTCCTCCCACCTCAAGCTCCACCCCCATCTCCTACCCACTAACCTCATCCCGCCTCCTTGACCTGTCCGTCCTCCCTGGATTGACCTATCCCCTCCATAACTCCCCACCTACATTCACCTTTACTGGCTCCAACCCCGCCTCTTTGACCTGTCTGTCTCTTCTCCACCTGTCTTCTCCTTTATCCATCTTCTATCCACCTCTCCCTCTCTCCCTATTTATTTCAGAATCCCCTTCCCCTCCCCCATTTCTGAAGAAGGGTCTCGACCCAAAACGTCAGCTTTCCTGCTCCTCTGATGCTGCTTGGCCTGCTGTGTTCATCCAGCTCTACACCTTGTTATCTCTGGAGCTCTTTGAGTGTTGTCTTTCATACTATTGTGCTGACTGCTTCATCGCTGAGGCTATTTTATTGTGGAACTGCCTCCTGTTTGTTATTTTGGAGACATGGCGCATGATTCCTGGGGCATTGGAACCAGCTCTGGGGGAGGTGGCACTAGCACAAACTGGACAGGTTGCAACTGGGCAGGACTGGAGCTAGAGGATATGTTTACGAATGGAATCAGGGAAAGTTTAAAATAAAAATGGCAGAGGATGGGAACCTGCTCAGGAGACTGGGAAATAAAGACAAAACAAATGACAGAATGGGAAATAAAAAATGTGACAGGCAGAAAATTCAAATTCAACGGCTAAAATTGAGCAGGGCCGTAGTGAACCTGGGTAGGGGTGGGGGGGATGGTGTTGCTGAGCATGCTGAAAAAGAGATGCCTTAAGACTGTGTGCCTTAATGTATGAAGCTTTTGCAATAAAATGGGCAAATTAATCCTGCAAATAGATCTAAACAAGTATAATATAGTGGGGATTAGAGGCCTGGCTGCAGGGTGACCGAGAATGGGAACTGAATATCTATGGATTTTCAGTTTTTAGAAAGTACAGACAAAAGGAGGTAGCACAGCAGTGTTGATCAAAAAGGAAATTGATGTTATTGTGAAGAAGGATGTTAATTCTGGTGAAGTAGAATCTGTATGCGTTCAATGTAGAAACATCAAAGGGCAGAAAATGATTGGGGTTGTATATAGACCCCAAACTGTAGTACTAATATGAAGGAAGGCATTGAAAAGGATACTAGAAATGCGGGTAATTTAAGGACAGCTGTGATTATCAGCAACTTCAATCTGCATACAGATCAGATCAAATCAAATCAGCAGCAATACGGTCAAGGAGGAGTTCTTGGAAAGTATTTTGGATAGTTTTATGGATCAATATGTTGAAGGACCAACTCGAGAAAAGGCTATTCATGACTGGGTATCGTGTAATCAGGATGGAACAATTGACAATCGAGTTGAGCATAGGCCCGTAGGGGAAAGTGACCACAATAGGACAGAATTCTTCATTAAGATGCAGAGTGATTTAGTTGTTATGGAGACAGTGGTCCTGAATTTAAATGAAGGAAATTATGATGGTATGAGGTGTGAGCTAGTTATGATAAACTGGGGGTCATTATTTAAAGGGATGATGTTAGGTAGGTAATGGCAAACATTTAAAGAGCGCATGGATGAAAAGCAAAAGTTATTCATTCGGTCAGGCATAAAAATAAAATGGGGAATGTAGACAGGCCATGGCTAACAAGGGAAGTTGGGGATAGTATTAAATCCAAGGGAGAGGCACACAAATTAGCCAAAAAAGCAAGAGACCTGAAGATTGGGAGCAGTTTAGATTCCAGCAAAGGAAGAACAAAGAGTCTGATTAAGATGGGAAAATGGTGCACAAGCATAAGCTTGCAGGGAACACACAAAAAAAAAGTTTTTAAAGGTATCTGAAGAGAAAAACATTAATAAAAACGAATGTAGGTCTCCTACAATCAGAAACAGGGAAACTTATAACAGGGAACAAAGATGGCAGACTAATTAGGGCGGCACAGTGGCTCAGTGGTTAGCACTGCTGGGTTCTATTCCACCCTCGGCGACTGTCTGTGTGGAGTTTGCACATTCTCCCCGTGTCTGCGTGGCTTTCCTCCAGGTGCTCCGGTTTCCTCCCACAATCCAAAGATGTGCCGGCTGGTGGATTGGCCATGCTAAATTGCCCGTAGTGTTCAGGGATGTGTAGATTAGGTCAGTTACGGGGAATGGATCTGGGTGGAATGGCCTGAGGTTCAGTGTGGACTTGTAGGGCCGAAGGGCCTGTTTTCACACTGTAGGAATTCTATAATTAAATACATACTTTAGTTCTGTCTTCACAAAGGAAGACCAGATAACATCCCATAAAAATCTTGGGGGAAACTGTGTCTAATGGGAAGGAATAAGTGTTAGAAATTAGTATTATTTGGGTATTGGGTAAACTAACCAAATTTAAACGCAGATAAATCCCCAGGGCCCAGTAAGCTTCATCCTGGAGTACTTCAGCATGCAGCTGTAGAAACAGCAAATGCAGTAGGTGGTCATCTTCCGAAATTCTTTCAATTCTGGAACAGTTCCTATGGGTTGCAAGGTAGCTAATATAACCCCTGTATTTAAGAAGGAATGTAGAGTGAAATCAGCGTATTGTTTACTGGAAAGCTTGACATCAGTGGGGAAAAAGATGCGAGAGTAAAGATGTAATGGCAGAGCACTTGAAAGATTGTGACAGGATTGGACGGAGTCAGCATGGATTTATGAAGAGGAGGTCATACTTGAAAAATCTGCTGGAACTTTATCCTAGTTACATCCTCAACTAAATGCGTAAGCGGGAACTAGTGGATGTGGTTTACTTGCCTTTTCAGAAGGCTTTCAATAAGGTCCACATCAGAGATTAGCATGTAAAATTGAAGTGTGTGGTGCTGAAGGTTGTGTATTGAAATTAATTGAGAATTGAATAGCAGACAGCAATCAAAAGAGAAGGAATAAACCGGTCTTTTTCCAAGCAGCAGGCAGTGACTCGTGAGGTACCGCAGGGAACAGTGCTTGGACCTCGGCTATTCCTAAGATGCGTTAATGAGTTGGATGAGGAAACTACATGTTATATCTCCAGGTTTGCAGACAACAAAGCTGAATGGAAAGATATGCTGTGAGGAGGATGAAGGGAAACTTCAGTGCAATTTGGACAAGTTGAGAAGCGGGCAAGTAGAGGATAGATGCAGTATAACGTGGATAACTGAGGGGTTATTCGGTTTGGTTGCAAAGACAGGGAAGCAGATAATTATCTCTATGGTGATGAGTTGGGGAAAGAGATGGTGCAGTGAGATCTGGATGTCCTCATACACCACTTGCAGAAAGTAAGCGTGCAGATACAAGAGGTAGTGAAGAAGGCAAATGGTATGTTGGCTGTCATAGCAAGATGAATCAAGTACAGGAACTGGGATATCTTGCTGCAATTATACAGAGCCTTGATGAGACCACACCTGAAATATTCTGCGCAGTATTTGTCTCCTTATCTGAGGAGGATGTTCTGGCTATGGAGGGACTGCAATAAAGGATTGTCAGACTGATTCCTGGAATGGCAGAACTGTCATGTGAAGAGATACTTGATCAGTTTGGGCTATATTCATTAGAGTTTAGAAGAATGAGGGGATCAGGATCTCAGAAAACTATAAAATTCCAGCTGGACTAGATAGGAAGGATGTTCTTGATGACCGAAGAGTCCAGAACTAAGGGTCATGGCTTAAGAATACGTGGCAAACCATTTAGGACTTAGACGAGGAGAAAATCCTTCCCCTAAATAGAGTGGTAAGCCTCTGCAATTTTCTTCCACATAAAACAGGTAAGGCCAAAACTTTGGTTGTTTTCAGGCAGTTTGCTATAGTTCCTAGGACTATAGGGATCAAAGGGTATGGGAAGAAAATGGGACCAAGTTAATGAGTTGGATGATCAGCCATGATCATATTGAATGGCGCAGTAGGCTCAGATGGCTAAATGGCCTATTCCTGAAACTGTTTTCTAAGGTTCAAGTAACTGCACAATATCAGCAAATAAAATCTGTTAATTCCTCAAAATCTTTGCCAACGCCAGAGGGAGAAAGGATGTTAAGGTTTGCCTGTTTAATTTACACCCGAAGCACTGTCACTTTGAGATACTAAACCAAGGCCCTCATGTTATCTTTTAGGTAAAAGATTCCATGACACCAATTATAGAAGAGGCTTGCCTGTGAGGTGTTACAGCAAAGAGTGAGTGAGGGCAGTTGTGAGGTAGAAATAGATCAGAGAGGGAGTTCCAGAGAGAGCAGCTGTGGGGTAGAAACAGTGCTTAGAGAGCAAATCCCAGTGAGAGCAGTTGCAGAGTCGAAGCAGAGCAGAGAGTGAGTTCTAGAATGAAAAGTCAGAGACCATGTATGGAAGGAATGTGCTATGACATTAGCGGGAAAAAGCAGTTGATTGTTCTTTATTTCCTATTTATCTCAATTTAGGAATTTCAGTTGGGATGAGTAGTAAATTTATTGCACAAGTAGGAGTAGGGGTGTTATTTAAATACTTAAACAGGTGATTAGTCAAGTAAAACAGAATAAAGAAGACTGGGAAGTGATGCAGGGGAGGGCAGGGGGACTAATGGCACAATAATAATGTCCCTACCTCTGAGCCAGGAGGCCCAGATTCAAGTCTTATCTGCTCCAGAGGTGTGTAATAATATCTCTGGAGGTACTTGGAGGGGTGGGTGGAGGGGGTGCTGGTCTGCTTAGCCTGCTTTGTGTTGTATGGTATTGGGCTTTTGATTATGTTGGGAATGCAGTCATTCAGGCATGTGGAAAATATTCCGTTATACCCCTAACGTGTTCCTTTTAGATTCAGTATTGTAACTACAGTTACTTGAACAAAGCTGTCAATGTTGGGAAAATCCTAGAGGTGAATGTGATGCTATTCAACATGGTTCATGGGATGAAAGGGTGCAAAGATTGGGCCTATACTCATTGGAGTTTGGAAGAATTAAAGGTGTTCTTATTGAATCATATAAGATTCTGAGAGAGCGTGGCAGAATCAATGCTGAGAGGATGTTTCCTCTCAGGGAGAGGAATAGGGTATATAAAACTAGAGGGCCTGCTTTAAAGATCAGGGGTCTCCAAATTAAAGCAGGAAAATAGCATAAGTCTTTTCGCTAGGGTGGGGGTGTTCAAAATGATGGGGCATATTTTTAACTTGACAGGAGAAAGATTTGAAAGGGACCTGAGAGGCAACTTTTTTAGAGGGTGGTTTGCAAGTGGAATGAACTGCTAGAGAAAATGGTCAATGCAGGTACACTTACAACATTTTAAAAACATTTAGATGGGTACATGAAAAGGAAATGTTTGAGGGATATGGGCTAAACGCAGGCAAGTGGGACCTCTTTTAATTTGGGAAACTTGGTTGGCATAGACGAGTTGGACTGAAGGGTCTGTTTCCATGTTCTATGACGCTATAATGTTTTAAACTTAAGGTAACTAAAGGGTGTGAAGACAACTGACTAAAGTTATCTGGAAGTTCAGTTTGAAGGCTGGGTCAGTCATGACATGGCAGATATTTTAATAAGGCATTTTGTAACAATTGTCAATATACATTGTGAGAAATATAGTTTCACATTGGAAGAATGAGTGTCATCAGCACGTAGGGAAACTGACATATTTTTAGATAGTCACTGAGGGACGACATGGAATAGAAATAGCTGGGTCCAAAACTGCATTCTTGGGAAACAAGATAATTCTGTGAGAATTGGAAGAGAAGCAATTGTGTCATTGCTTTGGTTACCATAAACAAAAATAGAATACAGTTCTGCCCAACTCGGAAGTGGAGGAGAGGTGTCAGAGGGGATTGGCACAATCAATTGTGTCAAAGCAAGAAGAATGAGGCAGGATAGTTTGCCTTTGTCATTCTTGGACAGAATATCATTTATGACTGACAGCGACTTCAGTACTATAATGGATGGAAATTTTATTCAAGTCATTTGAGAGTGGAGCACTGGAAAAGATAAACAAAGATTTGGGAGACTACAACAATTTCATAGACTCTATCGTCAGTCTACTTTTGGCAGATATTTTTCGTAACTTTAAAATTACAGTACCTTTTTTTTTTCATTTGCAGCTTTCTTTCTTGTAAAAGTAAATTTTCAGTCTAACACAGATTTTTTTTCCATCAAGGGCTGGGTACGGGCTCTACGTGCACAGAAGGAAATTACATTTTTGAATATTAATGATGGAAGTTCATTACAAAATCTTCAAATAGTTGCACGGCCAGATTTAGATATTAGGTAAGGAAATGCCCCTTCCAGTGTTGGTTATAAAGTTTGATCTTTATAGAAAAATATTATATACTTAAGTCTCAAGTGTACAGCTATGTTGTAAATTTACATATTAGCAGTAAAGGTGATATTTTGTATTATAGATTTATAAAAGAATTAACAGTACATGAGACCATTGGCCATCATGTACATGCCAGTTCTCTGCAGACCAAGACAGCTCAACCTACACGACGTTAAAAAGAAATGACGATCATTTATATGGCTTCTTGTTACGTTCTCAAGATTTCCCAAAGTACTTCCTCAGCAGTAATTACCTTTTTTGAAGTGCTATTTGCAATGGCCAAGTTCCATAAATGGCAAATAAATCAATAATCAATTGTTTTTGTTGTTAGAGTTTATCGTATTTGAGTTTCCACTTAGCCTTATTCTTTTGACAGTAAGTGGGAGGATTGGATGTTGTATGTGGAATGTGTCTTTTAACAGTTAACAATCATTTACTAAAGGAATTGTTTCTGAATAACAATTAAAATTTTGATTACTTTTTGAATTTTGTAATTCTTGATTTTATTTGGATGGTTTGGTTCTAATTCATCTGTCAACCTTTTTAAAATAATTGGATGAACAGATCTAGTAAAATGCTAAGAATTTTTAGATGGTCTTGTTAATCGATTCTTTGCACCATAGCATAACTATGGAGTTAGTATTGAGAAGGGCTTGTGATTGCTTTGCATATCATTACTTGTTTAATCTTCATATGCTGTACTATTTGCATCTGTGGGCATGATCACTGGAAATTGCTGAACATGAAGGCAAAACTAGTGATTTTTCTTCCCTCCCCCCCCCAACCGTTTCTTATGGACAGTTATGAATTTAAACTATTCTGTTGTACTTGGTGAATTGTTTCAAAGATTGTTTTAGAACTTAGAACAGAACAGCAAAGGAATGGGCCCTTCAGTCCACGATGTTGTGCCGAACATGACACCAAATGAAACTAATCCTTTCTGCCTGCCCTTGGTCCAAATTCCTCCGTTTCGCGCATATTCATGCGCTTATCTGAAAGTCCCTTAAATGCCCTTATTGTATCTGTCTCCACCACCATCCCTGGTAGTGTGTTCCAGACTCCTACCACTCTGTGTAAAAAAAAACTTGTCCCTCACATCTCCTTTGAACTTCCCCGCTCTCACCTTAAAACACATGCCCCCTACTATTAGACATTTTGTTAATGTCTTCTCACTAGTTCTTCTTTTCTTCTACTTCCAGGTAGCACTTAACACATTTACTTCTCTCCTTTCCATCCCCTAGCCCAGTTTGCAGTGCCTGATATAATGCTAACAGCTTTGTTTTTTCTTCCCACATAGGTAATTTGAACATGAGTTAAATTGACATCAAGATGGTAAAATTGTAGCAAAAAGGAAAGATTTTATAAAGGATTAGATGTGATATTGTAAACTAGTCAGTATTAACACAGATTAACAGGTTATGCTTTTTGTTGCGACACAGGGACAGCAAACTAAATTAAATCAACTTCCCTATCCCTAGATTTGCAACACAGTAAAATTTGAAACATTTAATGATCTTTAAAATCCTTCAATTATTCCTAACCAGTCTTTAAGAATAAAAGATACCCGATACTAAAGTTATAACTTAAAACAGAGATTAAGTTACTATTAATAATGTTAATTCAGCAAAACATGGATAAACAACAAAGCAATCTACTTAATCTCTCTGATCTAAAGTCAATCTTCTTTAACTAGAAACCCCCATTCTCAAACTGACAGACAGACACAGTTAAGGGATAAATTAGAAGGAAAAGGGTTAGGAATTGTAATAAAGATAATTTCAATCAAAATAAAGAACTGTGTTCTGAAGAAGGGTCATCGGACCCAAAACGTTAACTCTGCTTTCTCGCCGCAGATGCTGCCAGACCTGAGTTTTTACAGCAATTTCTGTTTTTGTTTCTGTTTTCCAGCATCCTCAGTTCTTTTTCTTTTTAAGAATGGTAATTAGCCTGTTCAACAGTTTCATGATGGGTGCCAAGCCTTCAGAAATCTTGGGTCAATGGAGTTGTTCACAAGCAAGTAAACTGCAGATCTTTCTTGAATTCTGAAGTCACCAATTCATGCACACAGGTCTGGTAGATTTCCAGAATAATTCACCCAATTCTTACAGAAGGGTATTTTTCTATCAGAATAGTGAATAAGTCAACAACTGTAGTGAAAACTAAAGAGAGAGAGAGGGCAAAACACAGTAGCACTATCCAGCAGCTTTTTCAAAACATGCCCACAATCTCAAAACTCCATTCAAAACTGGTTCACTTTTCTTTCTTCTCTTTTACAAGCATTCTCTGTGATTGGCTGGCCAGCACCAATCCTGCCTTGGCTGACCAATTCAACATCTAACCAGTTGCCAATCCGAAATCTAGAATGTCTGAGTGCCGAAACATCTGCGGTTTTCTTCGGACAATAGTTAACCTGCAATTATCTGTCCAGGCTAGTTCCCATAAAAAGCATCAGTTTATTTGCTCTTTTTTGTTTTAAAACGAGCTGCTGCTTAAAATATAAAGTTTGATTCTCAACTTTAGCTCCTTGTTCCAAACCAAAAATGAGAAGAATACAGAAAAACAGTGATGGTGCCCCCACACCTCCTCCCTCACCCCCATCCGAGGCCCCAAGAAGACTTTCCACATCAAGCAGATGTTCACCTGCACATCTGCTAATGTGGTATGCTGCATCCGCTGTACCCATTGTGGCCTCCTCTACATCGGGGAAACCAAGCGGAGGCTCGGGGACCGCTTTGCAGAACACCTACGCTCGGTTCGCAATAAACAACTGCACCTCCCAGTCGCGAACCATTTCAACTCCCCCTCCCATTCCTCAGACGACATGTCCATCCTGGGCCTCCTGCAGTGCCACAACGATGCCACCCAAAGGTTGCAGGAACAGCAACTCATATTCCGCTTGGGAACCCTGCAGCCCAATGGTATCAATGTAGATTTCACAAGCTTCAAAATCTCCCCTCCCCCTACTACATCCCAAAACCAGCCCAGCTCGTCCCCGCCTCCCTAACCTGTTCTTCCTCCCACCTATCCCCTCCTCCCACCTCAAGTTGCACCCCCATTTCCTACCTACTAACCTCATCCTGCCCCCTTGACCTGTCCGTCCACCCTGGACTGACCTATCTCCTCCCTACCTCCCCACCTATACTCACCTTTACTGGCTCCATCCCCGCCTCTTTGACCTGTCTGTTTCCTCTCCACCTATCTTCTCCTCTATCCATCTTCTATCCGCCTCCGCCTCCCCCTCTCTCCCTATTTATTTCAGAACCCCCTTCCCCTCCTCCTTTTCTGATGAAGGGTCTAGGACCAAAACGTCAAAAGAGCCTTCCTGCTCCTATGATGCTGCTTGGCCTGCTGTGTTCATCCAGCTGTACACCTTGTTATCTCGATGGTTTAGACGTTCTTATTTCAGCTATGGACAACAAAGCACAACAAACCTGGATTGGATTCATCCTGTAGACTTCTGTAAACTTCTGGAACCTTCTCAGAATTGTTTAGGTCCATGATTCTGGGTAGAGTGCGCACCCCCACCTCCCCCCCAGACACCCCACTTTTCCTTTGAGATTTTTCTTCTCCTCTGCAGTGAACATGGTTTCCTGCTCCTGACTAATATCTATCTATATAAGAGATAGTGGGATTGTTGTGCTTTCTGAAGAATGATCCAGACCCAAAACATCAGCTTTCCTGCTCCTCTGATGCTGCTTCGCCTGCTGTGTTCATCCAGCTCTACACCTTGTTATCTATCTATATAACATTGGTCCCAGTGACAAGGAACCTTTTTTTGTGAGCCTCTTCTGCGCAATCTCTGAGTCTTCATATCTTTCACAAAGTGTAGTACCAGAACCAGATGCAGTACTCTAGTTGAGGCCAGACCAGTGTTCCATATCAGTTTAACATAACTTCCTTGCCTTTATGCTGAATTCCCTTATTAATAAAGCCTAAGATAATATATGCTTTATTAACTGCATACTCAAAATATCCTAGCATCCTCCGTGATTTGTGCGCATATGTACCCAGGTTTCTCTGCTTTGGCATTCTCTTTAAAATTGTGTTCTTTACTTTGTATTGTCTCTCTACTATCTTCCTACAAAAATGAATTACATTGCACTTCTATGCATTATATTTAGTTTATTTATAACTGGTGTAACTGCTATCACACTTAGCACATCATATGATTTTGTGGTTTTGTCGAACTCAGTATAGTTCCACGTGATCATGGAACATAAACTATTTTACTTGAGGTTATGCAAACAGGTGTTAAAGCTGCTGAATTTAAATACATAGTTTAATTGCCTTACAAAGTATGATTTTAAAACATAATGTTTCTCACACCTGTAATACATGCTAACACTCATTATTTAATTCTGCAGCCCTAGTTTATTGAGCTTTTTCTGATCATGAATTTAAGGTTATTAACTTTATATCTGCTTTTACAGAGGTATAACTTTTGGCAGCGCAGTTGAAATTTGGGGGAAACTGATACAGAGTCCTCACAAGAAACAGAGAGCAGAGCTGCTAGCTGATAAAATCAGATTGGTTGGAGCCTGTAATCCTGTGGTATGTTTGGCTTTAGGGTTTTTATCTGTAAGATAGTTAAATTCAACATTTATTTCTTCTTCAATATCTTTCTCTTTCTTAAGTTTTGATGTAAAATTCTTCCCAACTATCTCTACCAATGTCTTTTTTTCTCTGCTAACTGGCTTCTTTCCTTAAAAGTTTGTGTTATAACTATTTTTTTAACTGGTATATTTCTGGAATCCTAATCATTTTAATTTGTCAGACCTGGCTCAGTTGTTTCAGTCAAAAGACAATTGTTACAGGCTTATTCCAGAAATTTGAGCCCAGCATCCATGCTGCTCTCTCCATTGCACTGCTTAGGTAGTACTGGCATTTAACTGGTATGTTGATCCAGAATCCACCTATTATCTTGAATGGATGTAAGATCACATGGTACCATTCAGAAAAAAGCAAGATTTATTCCCCAAGTGTGCTGACAAGCATTTAGTCCTTACCAACATGACTAAAACCAAGAATTTAGTCATTAGTCTTGTTTGTGGAACTTTGTCTGGGATTTGACTGTCATATTTCCCTGTACAATAATAGTAAATCCATTTCGGAGTGATTTGTTAGCTACAAGAGTCCTTTGAGACATCTTGAGTTTACAAAAGGTACTGCTTAAATGCTTAGTTGTGCTCCTTGCTTTCCCCATCTTCTCTCAATTTCTTCACTTACTTTCTCAAATTTGTTTTTATCGTTAATTGTACCTATAGCTCACATATCCCTCTACTTCAAGTTTGGTTTTTGCAAGCTCTTGTACTAATCTATGGATTTCCAAGACTTGATATAATTTACTTTTGTTTTGTGGGTGGATAATGCGCCTTTTTGGTCTTTTTTAAACATTTTCTATTTTTGATCCAAGTTTCTACGTGTCAATTTCTATCTCATTTCAGCTAGCTAACTGATCATTCCAAAATATGGCGTAGGCAATCTTATGCTCCTGTTTTTCAGTTAACTTGGTTTTCTTTATAGTTGGATTTTAAATCTAATCACTTGTGATTACTCCTTCAGTGCTTTGTGTTAAGATAATTGTCAGAGGAACATAGAGTAATTTGGCCCATCATACAAAGAGCTTCAAAGAATTTAGGATGGATAAGAATTTTCACGCTATTGATACACAGAACTTTGAGGTTCGTTTATTAATGTGTCCTGTGCATATTTACAGATTTTTTCCTATCCCCTTGATAGTAGTGCACACTGAAGCAAACAATGTATCTGCATCGCAACAGTCTCATTTGTTCAAAATTGTATCTTTGGTTATAATGTGTTTTGAGATATCCAGAGGATGTAAAAAGTACTGTATAGTTGTAATTTTTTTTTGTTTCTTTTAAAATGTGGAGAATGTTCTGTTCTTATGATGTGAAAATTTGGAGCCCTCTTGTTAATGTAGTTGGCATTTTTGACACAAAATCACTTTTCAATAATTTCCCAGTATGGAATATTGTCTGTATTTATCACAACTGTTTTTGCTTTCTCATATTCCGTACATTTTAACACTGATCTGAAATTTAAATTGATGACTTGGTTCTTGGGAAATGTCACTGAACAGTCTTGAGTAGTGCAGAATATTGGATCTGCATGTGGTGAACTGAGGAGTTGTGATTTATTTTTGGAAGCTTCTACTGTAAACCGTTATACCATGGAACTGCACTGAATAGAGATCAAATACTATAACTCGATACAAAAGAATCAATGGGGCACTCTTGCAAATCTTCCGTAAACTTTTGTTAATATGTGACATTAATAAAGATCAGGAAACATGTTCATTGACCTACTGTGCAGTTTTGCGCTGAGGGGCTAATACGTTATACAAGGAAACCAGAAAGCAAAAAAAAAGTAAGTTTGAGTTTGCATTGATGTTTCAATTTACCTTTCTGATTTCTCTCTATCAATGAAGACATATTTGTCAGCAATACTCAATTTTGCCTCATTTTAATTTTGTTTTTTGATTTTTGATTCTATTCTGTATATTAACTTGCAAATAATTCAATAATCTTGCTTACAGTATAGACCAAAATTTTCCTGAGAAAATAATCTTGTAAAATTGTTTTGGATGTTTGCATTTAATCATAGAATTTGCCATTCAAGATCAAGGAGAGGCATTCACTGGAATACATAAGACAGTTTCCTCATCTTCGTTGCAAAACAAATGTTTTCAGTTCACTTCTCAGAATACGAAGTGAAGCATCCACAGCTATTCATTCATTTTTCAAAGTAAGTTGAGTACAATACGTACAAATATTTATATTATACAAGTAAATAATGGGAAACCCCTTTTTATAAATACATCCTTTGAAAGCTATTATTGTTCACAAAAGTACAGATTCTAAGATTCAATAGTTGCTGCGTAAATTCTCCTTTCTTCAAATCTGACCTACAGAGCCAAGAACTTGTGCTGATGAACTTCCAACCAAGTACAAAATTAGTTACAATTAACAATAACTTGTGACAACATCCTGTAAGATAGCACTTGCTTTGAAACAGTAGAGCTAAAACTAAAATGTCTAATCCACTAGTTGGTTTTCCTACCGTCCCTGAATAAGCCTACAACCTCCCTCTGAAACTCTCTTGGCATCCTCATAGGGGTCTATCCAAAACTTCTCACCACTGCTTAATTATGAGCAGAACCTCTAATTTCTCTCCCACTGATCTTTCCTTCTCACCCCACCTGCTGGCATCCATTCTGGCCAAATTTATTCTTTTCTCATTCATCCCTCCAGCGCTTACCCTGTGGATTCTGCAAGTAGGTTGGCTCTCTCTGCTGCTTATGTCCTTCCAAAATGTTCATTCACCCACAAATGAACCCTTTGCAATCCAATAATCTATGAGAATGATTGTATCAGCATAATGAACTTGATGGAAGTTTGGCAGATGGGTCATGACACTTCACCATTTAAAACAAAAATCTTCTCTTGTGGCTGTAATATCTTTCTTTTATCCCTTGTGGCTATATCCTCTTCTACTTATTATGCCCAGATCATTACAGAAGCTGTGTAGCACTTGCACAAATTACACCTTCAACTGGTCTCCTACTACTCAGACACCTTCTGTTTCCTCCTGTTTAATGTCCATCTCCTTGCCTTTGAAATCCTAATTCTCTACTTCGCGTATAGGTACCACAACAGATTTCTTAATGAGATGTCTTCACTGTTTCCTTTCCTCAGCCTCTGCAACAAGTGACTTCTTAGCCTTGGTAATTTTAATATCTGCCTCAATTCCTCATCATGTTACCCTCTGAATTCACTGTCCTTCTATACTCTCTTTATTTTTCACTCCATATAAGCTCCTCGACTCATTGCAGCCAATCCCTTGTCACTCTCGTAGGTCCTCTGTACTCCCATTATATCAATCGTACGTAAATTAATTGCTGATATTTGCTGAAAACACAAAAATACATAGGAAAATGAGTGGTGAAGAGAGCATAAGGTACCTACAAAGGGATATAGATTAACTGCGCAAAGATGTGGCAAATGGAGTGTAATGTGGGAAAGCGTGAAATTTTCCATTTGACGAAAGAATGAAAAGGAATCATTATTTAAATGGTGAGAGGTTGTAGACCTCTGAAATGCAGAGAGATCTCAATGTCCTAGTATATGAATCACAAGGTTAGAATGCAGATACAGCAAGTACTCAGGATAGCTAACAATGTTTTGTTTATTGTAAGAGGAATTGAATGCAAAAGTAGGGAGGTTATGCTTTAATTATACACAGCTTTAGTGAGACTGCATCTGGAGTATTGTGTACAGTTCTGGTCATCATATGTGTGGAAGGATGTCAATGCGTTAGTAGTAGTTCCAAAAAAGCTTACTAGACTAATACCTGGAATGAGCAGACTACCTTGAAGAAGGATACAGGCCTAGCCTGTTTAGGCTTCTGAAGTTTAGAAAAGTCCGAGGTGGCTTAACTTAAACATTAAACATTCTGAGGGGACTTAACCATGTGGATGTACTAGGGGTCTAATCCTTCCCAGACAGCAACAGATCAGAGCAGCAGCGCCACATTGATCCTATCTTCCTTTGTTAGATTCCATAGGAGGTAAATTCAGCACTGTTCATTTCTTTTTCTTTTACTGGATGAAACAATTGCTGGCAATGTCAGTATTTGCAGTCCATTTGTTGTAGGTATACCTACTGTGCTACTGGGGAGGGAATTCCAGAATTTTGATTCCAATTTTAGTCTCTAATTTACAAAAAACAGAAAATAGTAGAAGTATTCAGAAAGTCGAGCACCATTTGTGGGGAGAAGAAGAGTTAACATTTGAGCACTATAACTTTTCAACTCGTGGAGTACTGCATCAAGGAAATAGAACTTACTTCCTACTTCACATTACGCAAATTTGTTCAAAATTTACTGCTGTATTCTTTTTTAAAGCCTTTTGGACTTTGATGCTTGTTTCTGTAAATTGGAAATGGTAGGCAATGGATCTACTGGTTATGCTTTGACATTTGTCTTCTGTTGGAATAATCTGCTACTGATTAGATGGATTTCAGACAATGCAAGTGAAATCAATTTCTTACTTCTCATGTAGCACAACTTCCCTAAGGTATTACTGCCCAATACTGAAGTCTGTAATGACTAAATTAAATCCAATTATTGTCACCTGTGTAGGTGCAAACTAAATCAAGTGCCAACAAAATAATCCAAATGCCAGTACGTCAACAGATGCTAACAAAATTTGTCTCAAATTGTTTCAAACAGCTCTGAGGTGTGTGCAGAACAGAGTGAACTGAATAGATAGTAACTACTTTCAACTTTGTTTAAAATTACAGAGCAATGGATTTGTTCATATACACACACCCATAATAACATCAAATGATTGTGAAGGAGCTGGGGAACTCTTCCAAATTGAAGTAAGTACTGTCCAGAAATAGAAGTTGTGTAGACTGATTAGTATGCTTTTTTTTTTGCTACCATTCTTGCACTACTAATGTGCAAACATTGGAAAATCCTATAGTAAGCAATTAATTTAGCAAAAGAGCTATAGTTGAAGCTTTTGTTTCACTTTCTATCACTGATGATTGAGAATAGACTGAGCGGTTGGTTGCTGGCCAGATTAGATTTATCCCTTTTTTCATCCTGGATGGGACATACATGGGCAATTTTCCATTTTGGCTTGTTCCATTTCGGCTTGTCCATTTCATCCTCTTTTATTTTGTTAATAAACTTCTATTTCATTGTTAAAGTAAAATCTGCAGCATTGTGTGCATATGTTTCTGTGAAAGACCACTTCATTAAAATGGGATTAAATCAAAATATATATTGTGGCTTTACTGAAACAGTTTGGCTAGGGTCTTAGCCAGTTCTGGAGTACAAAATTAGTACTTTTTCAGCATGTTGTCAGGGCCCACAGGAGTGAATTGATTTGGCTGAAGAATAACAACTGTGAACCAAGATCAATTGTCCACTCAGCACTTGTGGCTGCAGATGCTTGCAAATCGTTCAGCCATTTTGCATCGATAAACTGGGCTGACCTGTCACTGAAAATAGGGATATTTGTGAAACCACCTGCAGTGAATTGGTTAATTGCCTAACACCATTCACAACTGGATGTGCTATGACTATACAGCTTAGGTCTAATCTGTTGCATGTGGGTTCACTTAATTCTATCTACTCCATGTCCCTGCTATTGTTTGACATGCAAGTCGCCCTGTATTGTCACTTCATTAGGTTGACACCTCATTTTTAGTTATCCTTTGTGCTCCCAAGCATTTTCTCCTTCATTGAACCAGGATTTATTCCCTTTCTTGATTGATGATTAAGGTACAGAGGGGAATATGCTGGTTTGTGAGGTTGCAATTTGTTTCAATGCAGTTCTACCTCTGATGGTCTCCAGTGCTTCGTAGATGCCCAGTCTTGAGATGCTAGATTTGTTTGAAATCCATCCTATTTAACATGTTGGTAGTTCCACAGAACACAACGGAGGGTATCATCAATGAAAAAGTAGGACTCATCTCAACAAGTCTGTGTGGTGTTCACTCCTAACGATAATGTTATTTATAGCGAGTGTTTTGGTGAGGACTAGGTCAAGTCAGTTATTCCCCCTTGTTGCTAGGGCCTATGGAAGGTGGTGAGACTGCCTGACAGTTGTGTCACTTAGGACTTGCCCTGCTCAGTTAGTCAAATGCTAGCGAGCCAATCTTGGTGATGTTCCCCAAAATCGGAGTGCATTCTGTGCCCTTCACACCTCAGAGCTTCCTGCAAGTGGTGTTCAACTTGGAGGAGTACTGATTCATTAACTGAGGGGATTTGGGAGGTGATGTTCAGCAGGAGATTTCCTTGCCCTTGCTTTGACCTGATGTCATGAGATTTCATCGGGTCTGGAATCAGTGTACAGTTCTCACAATTTTGTCAAAAGCCCCAGATGTTAATATAGAGGACTTGGCAGTCTTGCCAGCACTGTGTGTCGTTGTTTCCACTGCCTTGGTCAATGCTGCTGGTCCATCCAGCTTAATTCCTTTCATTAAACTTTCTGGTGGGTCAACAGGACCGAGTAACTTACAAGGCTATTTCAGACGGCAGTTAGGAGTTGACCACATTGCTGTGGTTCTTGAAGTCACATGAAAGCCAGACTAGGCGAGCATGGCAGATTTTTCTCTCCAAAAGTGCATTAGTCAACCAGATGGGTTTTTGCAACAATACGCAATTGTTTCATGGTCATCATTAGGATCCTTGCTTCTAGGTCCAGATATTTATTATTTCTTTATTCTTTCATGGGATGAGGGTGTCTTTTTTTTTTAACCCATCTCTAATTGCAGTTAATCCAGAGGAATCACATGGCTGTGGTCTGAAGTCACATGTAGAATGGCACCTTCCTTCCCTAAAGGACGTTAGTGACCCAGATGAGTTTTTCCAACAATAATCATCATTAGACTCTTGATTCCAGATGTTTTTTTTTCCTTTACTGAATTCAAATGCCACCGTTTGCCGTCGTGGGATTCGAACCCGGGTCCCCAGAACATTATCTGGATGACTGGATTAACAGTCCAGGGATAATACAACTAGACCATTGCCTTCCCCTTCAAAACCAAGTACCGACATCCTTTAACAACTTGTACAACTAAGTTGTTTGAAGTCAGCTAATGGAAATAAGTGAACTTGGATTATTTGTGTCTTTCAAATTTCAGAATGCAACACAATACAGTTAACTGTTTTGCAGCTTCACCCATTGCAAAAATAAACAAGACTTAATGTAAGAAAATGTACATGTCAGAGAAGCAGTGGTAAATTTCATGCAGTGATTCTTTGATGCCACAAGATGGTGACAGCATGTTTTAATGAGCATTATCATCAACTCACTATACAGCTTTAGCTTAGTGGCGGCAAATCAGTGTTGTAACTGAATCAAAATTTCATGCTTTTGATTGTTTGCAAATGTAACAAAAATTGTATGTTTGTCATACTGATTGTGCAGATTAATCACCTTCCTGCTATTCAATAAAAACAGCAAATATTCTATGCTTGGTAGGTCAGTCGGCAACAAAATGTCAAACAGTGGGCTCATATTATGGGTTTGAATCTATTACAATTTATTTAATATTGTATGACATCTTATTGAGTATTTAGTATGTGAGATCATTTTCCTTTGCTATTCTCTGCATACTGGGCACATGATACCATTAAATAAGAACTTATTGTTCGTGCAGCAAATTGTAGATAAATGCTCCTTCATGAAGTCTTGTATTCATTTTAGTAAAACAAATGGGAGTAGTGCTCATGGGAGCAGGGAAAAGAACTGCACATTTGTCATGAAGATTTTATTTTGGACTAGCTGGAAGGCGTTTAACATTTTCTGTTACTGTGCTATTTGTTTCATGTCTGCAAACATTGCAAAGACTTGCCAGATGAAATCTGTGATCAATCACATAAGCAACTGTCTGAAGTGGATGCATTGCTAGGATAATGCTGTTGGTTTGCATTATTCTGTTACGTCTATTCAACTGGTTACAATGAATGCTGTCCATGGCTTTTTATGAAATTTTAGTGATGTGTTTCATTTTCTCTGTATATTCATACAATTGCTTTTAAATCACTTGGATTTCAGTTGGCTTATCTACAAAATAAATCACAATTTTTGGATGCAAGTATCAGCAAATTGTTTATCAACTCTGCCAAAAACAATTCTTAGATCAATTGATGTGAAATGTTCACTTTTCCACCTTTTGACAGCACTTTCTAAAAGCCACCATCCCTACTAAGAGATAAGGGCAGCAAAAGCATGGGAACTCCACCTGCAAGTTCCCCTCAAAGCTGCACATCATCCTGACTTAGTTTTACTGGGTCAAAATTCTGCAACCCTTCCTAACATCACTGTGGATGAATCTACACCACAAGGACGACAACAGTTCAAAAAGGCACATTTGAAAAAGAGTGGCTCAGTGGTTAGCACTGTTGCCTCAAAACGCCAGGGACATGGGTTCAGTTCCACTCTTGAGCAACTGTCTGTGTGGAATTTGCACATTCTCTCTGTGTTTACGTGAGTTTCGTCTGGGTGCTCCAGTTCCTTCCCACAGGCCAAAGATGTGCAGATTAGGTGAATTGGCCATGCTAAATTACCCATTGTGTCGGAGATATGCAGGCTAGGTGGGTTAGTCACGGGAAATGCAGGGTAATGGGGATGGTGTGGGTCCGGGAGGGATGCTGTTCGGAGGTGTGGATTCGATGGGCCAAAGGGCCTGCTTCCGCACTGCAGGGATTGTGATTCTTTGAAGGTAGCTCATCACCACCACCTCAAGGACAGTTTGGAATGGGCAAAAACTGTTGCCCTTGCCAGCAATGTCCACATCCCAATTTCAATTTTGAAACATATCTCACTTTTAAGGGAATTTTGAAGAACTACATAATCAGGAAAGCTGAATACTTAGTGTTGCAGTGCTCAATCAGTGTTCAAGCTAAGTCATATTGGAATTCTGCCCTGCAGTGAAATAGAAATGACTCTGTAAGGTTTTCAGTTTATATTTCTATACATAAATTCAAAAAGTTTTTCTTATAATTTATTACACTAACAACTTATTTTAGTGGTCTTCAACAGAAAAATGTCCAAATACAATTTCAAGTGAAGTGTGATTTTGTTTTTAAGGAAACAAAGTCAATAAAAAGGGCTGTTAGAAAGGGTGGTCAAAACCTTTGAAGAAATGGTAATAGCCAAGTATTTAAGAAGAAGTTGGATGGTGAAACAAGGCAATAGGAAAAGAATTTGCGTGTACGGTCAAGGCAACTGATGGAATATTGAGCTGCATTTTCCAAGCAGTGACAGTCTCACGCAGCTTTCCCCTATGCCTATCCTATTTTATGAAAGGAGAGTGTTCTGCATTCCTGACAGGAGATTTCACTGTGGGTTTCCTTAACTAGTGGTGCATTCTAATCTTGAGCAAAACTCTGGGGAAGGCAAACCATGCCCATTTCACAGTAATCGGCTGCCATATGCTGGCACTTTAATGGTCCAGAATCACAGGCAACCGCTTTGACAACTGCTGTCAAATGGTAAGCACATGAAGTTCGGTGACAGTTGGGGAACTGGATTACAACGACCCTGAAGAAATTACACAATTCAGGACACATCAGCAAGACAGACTACCGAAGAATGAAGCCAGAGGGATCCAACACGCCCTGCTTCTACACAGTCCCCAGGGCACACAAACCGGGGGTCCCCCTCAGACCCATTGTCTCACTGCCAGGTACACCAACATATAGACTTGCCAAAGAACTACAGCAGAAATTGAAATACTTAGTGGACAACACTACCCACTCCATCCATTCATCCCAAGAACTCCTCAACATCATCAAGGACAACAGGATAGAACAGGACGAGATAATGATATCCTTCGACGTAACAGCACTATTTACATCCATAAACATCGACCTAGCCAAAGAGGCAATTGCCACACTACTGGATGAATCAAGTAGGCACACACCCTGGGACACCAACAACATCAATAGGGACACCACGATAAAACTACTAGATCTGTGCCTCAACCCACTTCACCTTCAACTACAGCATATACATTCAAATCAATGGAACACCAATGGGATCCCTACTATCAGGACTGATTGCAGAAGCAGTAATGCAAAGGTTAGAACAGACAGCGCTCCTCACAACACAACCCAAACTTTGGGTCCAATATGTAGATGACATCTTCGTGATTATGAAATGCACAAAACCAGAAGAAACACACCGACACACAAACAACATCCTCACCAGGATACAATGCGCAAACTAAGAAGAGAACAACAATCAACTACCCCACCTGGACATAATTGTAGAACGCAAAAGCAACGGGAAACTCCACACTAGCATATATAGAAAGATCACACATACGTACCAGATACTCAATTACACTAGCAACCACCCCAGCGCCCACAAACACAGCTGCATCAAAACACTATTTAAGCCAGCCACATTGCAGCAACCCGGAACAATGCAAAGCAGAACAGGAGCACCCATACGGAGTCTTCAAAAGGAATTGGATACTTGAAAATCACAATCTGCAGTTACCTCCAAAACAGACCACAACGGGAAGACACAACACGACCAGACTCACTAATCACCCTACTGTACGTCAAGGTCATGTCAGAGATGACCACAAGATTACTCAGACCCCTAAGTATCAGGGTAGCCCTCAAACCAATAACCACCCTACGACAGAGATAGTAGGAACTGCAGATGCTGGAGAATCTGAGAGAACAAGGTGTAGAGTGGATGAACATAGCAGGCCAAGCAGCATCATAGGAGCAGGAAGGCTGACATTTCGGGCCTAGAAGGGTCTAGACCCGAAACGTCAGCCTTCCTGCTCCTATGATGCTGCTTGGCCTGCTGTGTTCATCCAGCTCTACACCCTACGACAGATACTGACAAATGTAAAGGATCCCATACCCAAAACCAGCAAAACCGGGTAAATATACAAAATACCATGCAAGGACTGTGAGAAACACTACACAGGCCAAACTGGAAGAAAACTGACTGTATAGATGCATGAACACCAACTAGCCACCAAGAGACACGACCAATTCTCGCTTGTCTCACTGCATACGGACAACAAGGGACACAAATTTGACTGGGACAACACATTCCTAATTGCACAAGCCAAACAGAGTCACGCCAGGGAATTCCTGGAGGCCTGGTATTCTAGCCAGAACTCCATCAACAAACACATTGAACTAGACCCTGTGTACGAACTGGAAGTAATGCCAACCACCCCAGCAAACTGAGGCATATAAATAACAAGCGGGACAGAACACTGACGCTTCACCGAGGTGCACTGACGATGTTACCCAGCAGGGTGACAAAACGTTTGCACCCAAACCCACCAGCTTGGTGAGCATGTCTACGACCTCGTCTGCAACCTCATCCACAACCTAAGCTACATATCTTCTTCAAGAAATTGGCGTGTAGCATCTTCTATTTCCCTGACAATTTCTTCAGACTCTGCTACGATGGGTATTCCCCATGCGCAACTCCTATCTACAGTGGAATAACAACTGTCTGACCATCATAAAATCCAGGCCAGTGTTACAGAAGGGCCTTGGACTGGGGGATGTTGCTGAGACAGAGAAGGACAAATTAGAAGACTACTTAAACACTGCTGAAAAATTTAGGAATGATGTGTTAGTGGGCCTAGACTATTGTGGATTAGTGAGGGCAGGAATGATGGATAGGAAACTTGGTGCAGATAATGTCAGCTCAACTGCCTCTATCTTTAGATGGTGGAAGATGAGAAGCCACGAAAGATCGCATTGAGAGACAGTGAGTCTGGAGATGATAAAAGAACGGCGCAGGCTTCAGTAGTAGACAAGATGAGGGAGGAATAGTAAACTTGTGAAAATGTGCTGCAATGTGACACAGAGGATATGGGATTAAAATTCAGTTGGGACTGAGTCAGATGCCAGGTTCAGAACAGTCTGAAGCTAAAGCCAGCGCTGAGGGTATGGAGTTTTTAACAGGGGCTTAAAATAATGACTCACTGTCTTTCTAGAGGTGTTAGCCTGGAGGAAGTTGTGACTCATCTAAGGTTGGATGTTGGACAATTGGTTTAACCACACAGAAATATTAGAGGGTCAGGAAAGCTGGTGAAGCAATTCAATCTATTCCTCCTTTCAAATGCAAAAGTTTCAAATATAATTTGAAATCATATGTCATTCTTCAGCCACCAAATTTAGATTTTAAGTATCGTTAAATATGAACTAAATATTAAATGAGACTTAATTCAAATATTTGTTTATATCTTGTTTCAGCCTGCAAGCAAAACAGCTGAAAAGCATGATAACACTCATTTCTTTGATGTTCCTTCCTTCTTAACTGTGTCTGGACAACTACATTTGGAAGTGATGACAGGGTAAAAAAAAATTTCAACCATTTTTAAGTCTATATATTTGTGTTCAAAGTTGTTGTCTGATATTTGAATTTTGATTTCCATTACTAATCCTTGTCTAGAGTGGAGTTGATATGTTGTTAGAGGATGGCAGAGCTTTGGAAGCTGTAAAGACTGTTTTATTAATCATGTATTCAAGAGGCACAGTTCACCAGAATATATTTGCTTTAATCTTTACAATAAAACTTCAAATTATTTCTTCCACATTCATCACAAGTCTACTACATAGCTACTTGACTAATGACTTTATATCCTACTACAAACTTTGTGAAATAAAGACCAAAAGCATTCTTCTCTAATTTATTTGATTTCAGTTACTATAACAATTACAATGTTTTTTTAATTTGCACACAGCAAGGTCCCACAAACAACAAGATAAATAACTAGTTCAATTTTTTTGTGTGTTTTGGACTTGGTCACCACAGATATCCCTGCTCTCTTTCAAATAATGTCATGAAATCTTGTGTGTCTATCAAGAAATTGCACTTCATAAAATGCCTAGACTGCTCAAATTCTACAGTGAAGTTTGAAATAATTGACTTTATTTTGGGTACAAGAACTCTGACTGAGCCATTTTTGCACTCCTTTAATAAAGGAACTGAAGCTTCGTTAGTCTGCTTCTGAACTTTCATACATGAAGGCAGTTTCATCAGTTGTTTTGGATAGAATATGATGATTCTGGAACAAAATAAAAGATCAAGTCTGGACAGCACATGCACTTCCTTTGGCCAGCGTCAAATTTATTTTCCGGTACAAAGAAGTTACTTGCTACAGTTGGTACTTTATTTAGCTAAAATTTTCTGTTAGAACATAAGAAATAGAATTATGTTCTATCATTCTGTATATTTATGGCTGGTCTTTTACTTCAACTTCGCTTTCTCCCCAATCTCCCAATCCTATTGGTCTTGGTGTCCTTTAAGTACATTGTCACTTTCTGAAAATGCAAATTCACCCTAAATTGTTGCCATCTGTCATAACTTTATTTCCTGCGGAATCCTTTAGCCCGATTATTCCTTGTAATGATTCACACTGACTCTAGATTATGGTATTTCAGTAAATCAGTATTCTTCAAAGCTGTTTTCTGTTAGCTATCTATCAACATCACCTAACAAACACAAGTAATTCCAGTATAAAATATGAAACCTGTAGATTTTTAAGTTTGCATTGCCTTCTGTCTGAGCCAGTCATGATCTTCAGAATGTATTCTTTGTATATCTTAGATCCGTCATTCATTTGAGATAAATGGTAGCGCTCCTTCTAAGCTGTTTTAGATGGCATTCTTCCGATATTACAGCATAAAATCTTCCCACCACATGTAGCGATCACAGTACTCAGTGTTGGATAGGTTGTGAAGTATGGGCAGGCATGATGCATGTGAAAGGTTCAGTTGCTATGGTCTTACCTGACTGCAGGACTGGTCTCTCATTAAAAAGAGAGAGAGACAATTGGTGGTGGTTTAACCTGAGGGTTACTATGTCTCAGGCTAGGGGAGAGATTGAGAAGGAGAGTCTTCCATAGCTGGTGCGGGAATTAAACCCACGGTGTTGGCATCACTCTGCTTCACAAACCAGCCATCTAGCCAACTGAGCTAACTGACCCCCTTGTGAGGGATAAAGCATATGTAAAGAATAGGAAAACAACATGTTTCAAAATATAAGTAAATGTTTTCCCTCACTCATATTTCTTGAATACCCAATGGGTAGGTTTCAGTATAGCCCAAAACTGATACTAGATCAGCTATACTTCCATATCATTCTTTTCCTTATGAACTAATATGTTAAAGTCAACTCTTTTGAACACAACATTGAATTTGATGGCCAGGTTGATTAGAAAATATTTAACTGCCACTTCCTGCCCCTAGTTCGATCTGCTAGGCCTTCGTTGACTAATGCTGAACATCACCCTTACTACGCATTGATCAAACCCTGCTGCTAAGGCTTTGCCCCAATTATTGATTCTCTCTGGCCTGTGCTTTGTTCTCTGCTCTGCAAATACATTCAATGGCAGTATCAGCAGCTGACCTATAATGCTCCTGTTTTCACTAGGACCCATCCTGCAATGCTGATTTCATGTAAATGAAGTCCAAGGCCCAATATCTGTGACCCCCTGGCCCTGAGCTTCCAAAATTCAATGCTCTTGAATTTCTAGGCCATAAACTTTGAGACAATCCTCTCCTTACTATGATCCCCATCTGCTTCATGAAGACCACCAGTGCCAAAGAAAAATCATGCAGTCCACCTCAATAACCGCCCAGTGGCGCTGACCTCCGTAATTATGAAGTGCTTTGGGAGGTTAGTCATGGTTCACATCAACTCCAGCCCTCAAATGCCTTGATCCTTTGCAATTTGTCTATGGCCTTACACTCATCCCTGGAACATCTGGATAACAAGGATACCTACGTCAGCCTCCTTCTTATTGATCTGTAGCTCTGGAGACAATGACAATCCAGGTGAATATTTCAGTATTGCTAAATATTCCAAGTTTCTGCCTCAACCATCCTTTCAGGCCATGAGTTCATACTCCCACCACACTCAGTGGGAAATAAACATTCTCCCCATCTGTCCTCTTCACCTTTTACCTCTTAGCTTAAAGCCATGCCTCCTGGTTATTGACCCCTTTTACTAACAGTAAACATGTCTTTTTGTCCATTCAATGCCCCTCATAATGTTTTACACTTCTATCAGGACCCCGTAAACTTCACTCTTCAAGGAACCCAACCTACCCAATCTTTCCTCATTGCTCAGATTCTCTATCCCAAACAGCATCCTGGTAAATTTCTGCATCCTCTCTCATGGAATCATATTCTTCCTATAATGTGGTGACCAGAATTGTATACAGTACTCGAGTTGAGGCCTAACCAGTGTTTTATAGAGTTCCAGCGTAATGCCCTTTCTGTTATATTTCTATGCTTTGGTTAATAAAGTCAAGTGTCCCGCGTGCTGTCTTAACCACTGTATCTACCTGCCTTGCTGCCTTCAGGGATCTGTATTCTGAAGAAGAGTCATATCAAACTCGAAATGTTAACTGTTTTACTCTCCACAACTGCTGCCGGACCTTCTGAGTTTCTCCAGCATTGTGTTTGTTCCCTCTGATCTTTAGTACTGTTAAGAGTCTGACCATTTATATTGTAATCTCTTGCCTTGTTAGCCTTCTCCAAGCGCATTACATCTCACTTTTCCAGGTTGAATTCAATTTACCGCTACTGTGCCCACCTGACCAGCCCATTGATACTTGATACCTTCCTGCGGCTTACAGCTGTTCTCCTCACTATTTGCCACCCTCCCAATGTTTTTGTCATTCACAAACTTCTTGATCATACTGCCAATATGTAAGTCCAAATCATGAATGTACACCACAGACAACAAGGATCTGAGCACTAAACCCTGTGAAACCCAACTTAAAACAGAATGTCCAGTTACCAACATCCCTGTACCCTCATCCTGTGCTTTCTGCCACACAGCCAGTTTTGGATCCTGTATGCCTCTTTGCCATGAATCCCATAGTCTCTTACTTTATTTAAAAAGTCTGTCATGAAGGACTTTATCAAAACCCTTGTTCAACTCCATGCAGATCACATCAAATGCATTGCTTCATCAACACTTACGGATACCTCCTCAAAAGATCTGATCAAATCAAATTTAATCAATCAAATTTGTCAAACACAACTTTCCCTCAACAAATCTATACTACCTCTGAATAATCCATGTCTCTTGAATTGCGGATATGTTCTATCTCTCAGAATTTTTTAAAATAATTTTCTTACTGCCAAGGTTAGATTGCCTGTAATTTCCTGGTTGATTCCTTCATCAATTTTTAATAATGGGTTGATGTTAGTCCTCCAGTCCTTCAGCACCCTCACCTATGGCCAGAGAGGATTTGAAATTACTGCCATGGCCCCTGATAATCTCCTTTCTTGTCTCCCCCTAGGGAGATTAATCAGTATGACTGAGCAGAAGCTAGAGAGTCTGTTTTGTTAACAATTCTTTTATCTTTTCTAAGCTTGTTTTTTTTTTCCCCTTGTTCATGCTTAATTTGCGATGTGAAAGTGTCAGCGGGGATAGGAACCTGAGGTTGGCCGATTATGTGATTAGACTGAGCTATCTTGAGTGCACAATGATGTTTACATATTTTGCAGTTCCCCGTGGTTCTTCTTAAGTTCTAATTTAATAAGTAAAGCCATGGAAATGTCTAGAAGAGCTATTTAGATTATATACATTTCATGTTACTTCTCCATTGCAATAAATCTCACTACTGAACAATTTTTATTTATTAAGGCTAGAGAAGGATGCAATGCAAATATTTTCCTCAATTGATTCTACATAATGCCATCTTATTTACTATACTTTACTGTTATAATTAAATATTTAGGCAGAAGAGGGAAGACATAGTAGCAGGAACAAAATGTAAGTACTAGTGAGTAGTAAATGTAAGTAGATAATGTCTTGCCTTGATTAAATTTAGAGGAATTTTTCACTGTGTTGTAGAAGATAGTTTCACTTTGCAAAGCAGATGAATCAGTCAATTAAATTTGGGTGCCTTAATAGGTAGGATAGAGTAATGGCTATGGCACTGGATTAAAAGTCTAGAAGTCATGATTTGTATAATGAGTAAGGGAAATGAACTTTGTCAATGTTGCCCATATCTCAAAAGCAACTTCAAAACATATGTTTCCCTGTCACTCTTAATTACTATTCTAAGCATATTGAAACTTGGAAAAACAATTGTGTTATTTTATTAAGATTTCTCAAGTTACTACTTCAAATTTTAACTAGATATTTCTCCAATAACCAAATAAATCCATCCTGTCTGTTTTACATTGCCAAAGTCTAGAAGAAGAATGATGTAGAATTGTCACATCATCTGTGATGTTGGTGTAAACCTTTTCCATTATTAACTTCATCTGCAAGCCTGATATTTCAAAATCATGGATGACGTAGGAAAAGGAATGCAGCCTTAGTTTTAGG